GAGTATTCACTATTCAAAGTTAAGTTGTAAGTAAAAATACATTTTTCTCTATTTAAAATTAAGAACCATAACTAATTTATTTATTTTGCACAGTGTTCACAATAAAACCGTTATCATGATGAGATTTAAAACAGGAAAGGTATGCTAAAGCTAATCTTTTCAAATATTTAATTACAGACTCAATGTTTAAGATATACATAATATTTACTTTTATGTGTTTTAATAAAATATTCTTTCAATAGTGCTTAATAAAAACTTTTATCCGGCGATCTATATCAACAACCTCGACTATGAGAGATGTTTTCATTGTCAGTGCTACTAGAACTCCAATTGGATCTTTTGGTGGATCATTGAAGAGTCTTTCTGCTACTAAACTGGGTGCTATAGCTATACAAGCGAGTACTCATTATTCATATTTATATTTTTAGTAAAATTAGTAATTACTGACTAATTTTCATAGTCGTACATTCATTTATTTTTTATTGGGATTATTAAAACTATTAAGTCAATTAAATATTAACCTTATTTTTGTAACAGGCTGCTGTTGAACGATCTGGAATTTCAAAAGATGAAATTCAGGAAGTTTTTATGGGAAATGTATGTCAAGGTGGTGTTGGACAAGCGCCAGCAAGGCAAGCGACAATATTTGCTGGTGAATTAGTGAACTATTATAATAATTATGCTAAAACATTTTAAAATAACTATTATTAATTTATAGGATTACCTAAATCAACTATATGTACAACAATAAATAAAGTCTGTGCTTCCGGTATGAAGTCTGTCATGTTGGCTTCTCAGAGTCTTATATGTGGCCATCAACAAATAGTAGTTGCTGGTGGGATGGAATCTATGTCTAATGTACCATTTTATTTAGCTAGAGGAGATACAAAATATGGTGGTGTGAATTTATCTGTCCGTTTATTATTTACATGCGTTAAATATTCATACAAATATAATATTTTTTTAAATAATGTACTAAGTCACAAAGATGATATATTAAACACTAGGTAGTGGATACTACAGCAATATATTTCTTCGAGAATTCTATGTGTAATAAGCTAATAAATAAAGAAATTGAACAGCGGCAATACGGTTTCCCTGCAACGTCTGGACGCAGCGTCAAGCGTCACTACCGGTCTGGACGTAGGTCGCGTCTAGACGCCGCGTCCGACGCAACCATGCTGTTCTCGCGTCTGACGTTGCAGGGAAACCGTACCTTTACAGTCAAATAAGTACTAAATGTATGAAGTATGAATCTCTAATACCTATAATATATAGCAATATATTGTATTTGGTAATCGGATAGGCAATAAACACACAATTGAACGTTAGCAATAGATTTTCAGGATTAAGGTAGGCAACTTTGTATAATATATAAACCATAATAATATAATGCATCATAATATATTATCTATGGACCTAGAATGATTTTATCTATAGCAGTAAGTTATGCAATTAGTATTTATAATCAATGATAATACCAACTGTTGATACGAAAAAATAACTTGATAAAATTATATACATTTTTTCTAAGTTGCACTTTTGATCTTTACACTTTGAAATGTCCTATCAAGAAATAATCATTATTTGTTGTTAAAGTTACAGCTATTAATTAACTAGTTATGGTCAGGTAGTGTAATAGCCATCGGTAGAAACGTATCTTTAGAAATATATTATTGAAATCTGATATTTTGAAGTTTGATATTAAAACAACTTGAGTATTCACTATTCAAAGTTAAGTTGTAAGTAAAAATACATTTTTCTCTATTTAAAATTAAGAACCATAACTAATTTATTTATTTTGCACAGTGTTCACAATAAAACCGTTATCATGATGAGATTTAAAACAGGAAAGGTATGCTAAAGCTAATCTTTTCAAATATTTAATTACAGACTCAATGTTTAAGATATACATAATATTTACTTTTATGTGTTTTAATAAAATATTCTTTCAATAGTGCTTAATAAAAACTTTTATCCGGCGATCTATATCAACAACCTCGACTATGAGAGATGTTTTCATTGTCAGTGCTACTAGAACTCCAATTGGATCTTTTGGTGGATCATTGAAGAGTCTTTCTGCTACTAAACTGGGTGCTATAGCTATACAAGCGAGTACTCATTATTCATATTTATATTTTTAGTAAAATTAGTAATTACTGACTAATTTTCATAGTCGTACATTCATTTATTTTTTATTGGGATTATTAAAACTATTAAGTCAATTAAATATTAACCTTATTTTTGTAACAGGCTGCTGTTGAACGATCTGGAATTTCAAAAGATGAAATTCAGGAAGTTTTTATGGGAAATGTATGTCAAGGTGGTGTTGGACAAGCGCCAGCAAGGCAAGCGACAATATTTGCTGGTGAATTAGTGAACTATTATAATAATTATGCTAAAACATTTTAAAATAACTATTATTAATTTATAGGATTACCTAAATCAACTATATGTACAACAATAAATAAAGTCTGTGCTTCCGGTATGAAGTCTGTCATGTTGGCTTCTCAGAGTCTTATATGTGGCCATCAACAAATAGTAGTTGCTGGTGGGATGGAATCTATGTCTAATGTACCATTTTATTTAGCTAGAGGAGATACAAAATATGGTGGTGTGAATTTATCTGTCCGTTTATTATTTACATGCGTTAAATATTCATACAAATATAATATTTTTTTAAATTTTTTTTTTTTTTCATAATACTGTTAGGATGGAATCGTGTTTGACGGCTTAACTGATGTATACAATAAAGTTCACATGGGCAGTTGTGCTGAAAATACAGCTAAACAATGTGGCATAAGTAGAATACAGCAAGATGATTTTGCTTTAAGTAGTTACAAAAAAAGTGCTGATGCGTGGAAACAAGGGCACTTTGCTCAAGAGATCGTTCCAGTCAACATTCCTCAAAAAAAAGGTATGAAATTTGTTTTTTTTTCTAAGCTAATGACTTAAAAATAATTAAAATATTTAAAGGTAAACCTGATATTGTTGTATCTGAAGATGAAGAATTTAAAAGAATAAATGTTGAAAAGTTTAAAAAATTGAATACAGTTTTTCAAGTAAATATTATTTTGATTTTTCTTTTGATTTCTTTTTTTTGATTTTTTTTTTTTTTCTATTTTAGAAAGAAAATGGAACAGTAACTGCTGGGAATGCATCAACGATTAATGATGGAGCTGCAGCTTTAGTTTTGACAAATGAAAATGTTGTAAAAGAATTAAATTTAAAACCTCTAGCTAGAGTAGTTGCATTTCAAGATGGTGCTACCGATCCTATTGATTTTCCGATTGCCCCAGCATTTGCTATACCCAAAGTATGTATGATAATTTTTTTATAACATACTTTGATTATGATTATGGGGGACAAACTGGCTTAGTGGACTAATGCTCAACAGTCACTTTCGGCGTCTCTCCCTGGGTAAACAATTGTCTGGACCAGCTTTTCTTGAACTGTGGGCCGCGAATTATTGTTAAGGTTATTTTTATTACTGGGCCTGTAATCCTTTTTACAATGCTCAAAAGGGTCCGACAGAAGAAAAGTTTGGAAAACGCTTGTCTAGAGTCTAGACCACTGACCAGCGGTTCCCAATTTTTTTTCCAACTCTTGGCTCTCTTTTTTAAATAAGTTTTTTTGGGATGCCGTTCCCTAAGTCATAGAAAGACTAATCACAAGACATAGACAACAATAATAAATACGAGAAAAAATTATATTATATCCTTTAAATTTGTTTGCATACTTTAAGTTAATGGGATGGATGAGCTTGCATATCATGCACATTTTTCTAAATCTCTAAATTCTGAGCGTACAGACTATTGATCCATGACACTCACGTTTCTCTTTCTACAATCGATTTTCGTTCAATACTAGCTTCACAAGTCAAAGACAAAATTAAAATATGTTGGGTGTTATTACTTAGAAGAGGATATTCATCTATTATTGAGATCAATAATTTGGTCAATTACTGATTTCAAACTATTGTGGCACGCAATAGTATATTTAATCTATGGTATAATATCTGCATATAATTGCATATTTAGCCCCTTTAGAATTATATTATTCTTAATAAAATATGTTAAAAAAATTAAACACCACTTTTACATGAAGAATTGTAATAGTATTTAATTAAAATAATTAAAATTGTAACAAACATTTAATAGATTAAAACAACATAAAGAACTCAATAAACCTAACAATAAGCTCTCAAACTAATAGAACTAAAATCACTTGCCATTGAAAAATATTTTGAACATAAACAATCTTAATGTCCTTATAATATTTAAAAATAAAATAGAAATCAATATTAAATTTAATAAAATATGAAAATGTAATATTTTTATAAATTACAAAATTACAAAAAAAATAAAATCTACTGTTTTTGTTGTATATTAATATATTATTTTAAATAACATGTCTTGAAGTCTCAGGAAACATGTCTAATTGACAATCAAAAATATAAAACCCACTGTAATATATGCATTAACATTGCCTATCTATCGTGTCAAGTATAACAATATTTTAACGAAATTCTGAGAAACAATGTCAACTACTTTTTCTACAGTAAAATTGATTCATCATTAAATTCACATGTTTATATGCTTTTATTAACTAATATGCAATAATCCTCCTAATATGCAATTTGGTATTTGAATTCAGTGTAATATGAACTGTAAACATGCAAATGCATTTAATTCTGGGCTCTACTTATTATTAATTATTATTTCATTCTAGCTGTTAAGCAAAAGTGGTGTATCTAAAGATGACATAGCATTATGGGAAATAAATGAAGCTTTCAGTGTAGTTGTCTTAGCTAATATAATGAAACTAGATCTCGATCCATCTAAAATCAATGTTCATGGTGGAGCTGTTAGCTTAGGTCATCCAATTGGGTAAATATGTCACTTTATGGTGTTCTTAATTTGATGATTAAAAAAAAAATTTTTTTTTAGGATGTCTGGTGCCAGGATCATAGTTCATTTGGCTCATGCATTAAAACCAGGACAAAAAGGTGTAGCTTCCATTTGTAATGGAGGTGGTGGAGCATCATCAATTCTTATTGAACGTTTATAATTCTTTATATTATTTATAAGAAGTATTTTTACTTCACAAATCTTATTATTTAATATTTAATTATTGCAGTGTAGTTATGAGATAAGACTGCAGTTACTTATTTTCATACATGTTAAATATATGAAATGATTATTATATTTTAAAATTTACACGGGTAAGGAAATTATTTTGAAAAATATTATTAAAACCGATATCATATTTTATTAAAATTGTTCAACTATTTATTTATTTTAATCAGTTTGGCCAGTATTTGTCTTATCTTTTTCATATATTACTAAAATAGTCGTTCTTTACATCTTGAACCACGTTATCTATAATCTTTAATGCCATATATTTATCTACTTGTTTGATTTTAAATTCAGTAGCTTTGAACTGGATTTTGTTTTTAAATTTTATTGGTTTAATATCAAATTTTTTCCAGAAATTCTTCAACCAACTTACATCCTCCGGGTGTTCCTACAAAAAAATATTATTAAAACAATCAGATCATTCTGTTCCTAAATTATGTTATGTACCTTTGGAATGCGTAAGTATACATGGATGTGCTCTTTATTATAAGCTAAAAATAAGCAAGGTATTTCACCACAAACATGTATAACATTTTCAAAATCATAACAATTGTCATCAAGGTAGGCTACATCACAGTCTACATAACCCACAGCATAGCTATCTTTACATAATATTTTTATTGCATCACCTAATATCTGCCTAAATACAATAGATTAGTAAATTTAAATATTATCATAACATTACAATTACTTACATCTTTTTTTCTTTTATTAATTTCTGAATTTTTCTTTCGGTAGCAAAGATTTTCTTATTTATTTGAATTTGAACTTTCAATGGTATATAGTTATGAGAAATATTTTTCAGTTCTGATTTTAATTGATTCTTATTATCCATCATCAAATGCACCTTTATTTTAAAATGTTTGAAAATATTGATTAAAATATGATAAACATATTCCCATATAAAGACTGGTATTAAAATAATTTATGAATTGGGTACAGTCTCTAAAATTTGTGAAGAAATGACCAACATATTTTTTAACCTATGACCTATTGCATCTCAAGGGCTTTTTACATTAATACCCGATTTACCTTTGTTGGACAAATATTATTTAAATTAGTCGAATTCACTAAATCTTCAAAAACATTTGATCTATCCAATAATTGTTGACCACAAGCTCTTNTTTTTTTTTTTTTCATAATACTGTTAGGATGGAATCGTGTTTGACGGCTTAACTGATGTATACAATAAAGTTCACATGGGCAGTTGTGCTGAAAATACAGCTAAACAATGTGGCATAAGTAGAATACAGCAAGATGATTTTGCTTTAAGTAGTTACAAAAAAAGTGCTGATGCGTGGAAACAAGGGCACTTTGCTCAAGAGATCGTTCCAGTCAACATTCCTCAAAAAAAAGGTATGAAATTTGTTTTTTTTTCTAAGCTAATGACTTAAAAATAATTAAAATATTTAAAGGTAAACCTGATATTGTTGTATCTGAAGATGAAGAATTTAAAAGAATAAATGTTGAAAAGTTTAAAAAATTGAATACAGTTTTTCAAGTAAATATTATTTTGATTTTTCTTTTGATTTCTTTTTTTTGATTTTTTTTTTTTTTCTATTTTAGAAAGAAAATGGAACAGTAACTGCTGGGAATGCATCAACGATTAATGATGGAGCTGCAGCTTTAGTTTTGACAAATGAAAATGTTGTAAAAGAATTAAATTTAAAACCTCTAGCTAGAGTAGTTGCATTTCAAGATGGTGCTACCGATCCTATTGATTTTCCGATTGCCCCAGCATTTGCTATACCCAAAGTATGTATGATAATTTTTTTATAACATACTTTGATTATGATTATGGGGGACAAACTGGCTTAGTGGACTAATGCTCAACAGTCACTTTCGGCGTCTCTCCCTGGGTAAACAATTGTCTGGACCAGCTTTTCTTGAACTGTGGGCCGCGAATTATTGTTAAGGTTATTTTTATTACTGGGCCTGTAATCCTTTTTACAATGCTCAAAAGGGTCCGACAGAAGAAAAGTTTGGAAAACGCTTGTCTAGAGTCTAGACCACTGACCAGCGGTTCCCAATTTTTTTTCCAACTCTTGGCTCTCTTTTTTAAATAAGTTTTTTTGGGATGCCGTTCCCAAAGTCATAGAAAGACTAATCACAAGACATAGACAACAATAATAAATACGAGAAAAAATTATATTATATCCTTTAAATTTGTTTGCATACTTTAAGTTAATGGGATGGATGAGCTTGCATATCATGCACATTTTTCTAAATCTCTAAATTCTGAGCGTACAGACTATTGATCCATGACACTCACGTTTCTCTTTCTACAATCGATTTTCGTTCAATACTAGCTTCACAAGTCAAAGACAAAATTAAAATATGTTGGGTGTTATTACTTAGAAGAGGATATTCATCTATTATTGAGATCAATAATTTGGTCAATTACTGATTTCAAACTATTGTGGCACGCAATAGTATATTTAATCTATGGTATAATATCTGCATATAATTGCATATTTAGCCCCTTTAGAATTATATTATTCTTAATAAAATATGTTAAAAAAATTAAACACCACTTTTACATGAAGAATTGTAATAGTATTTAATTAAAATAATTAAAATTGTAACAAACATTTAATAGATTAAAACAACATAAAGAACTCAATAAACCTAACAATAAGCTCTCAAACTAATAGAACTAAAATCACTTGCCATTGAAAAATATTTTGAACATAAACAATCTTAATGTCCTTATAATATTTAAAAATAAAATAGAAATCAATATTAAATTTAATAAAATATGAAAATGTAATATTTTTATAAATTACAAAATTACAAAAAAAATAAAATCTACTGTTTTTGTTGTATATTAATATATTATTTTAAATAACATGTCTTGAAGTCTCAGGAAACATGTCTAATTGACAATCAAAAATATAAAACCCACTGTAATATATGCATTAACATTGCCTATCTATCGTGTCAAGTATAACAATATTTTAACGAAATTCTGAGAAACAATGTCAACTACTTTTTCTACAGTAAAATTGATTCATCATTAAATTCACATGTTTATATGCTTTTATTAACTAATATGCAATAATCCTCCTAATATGCAATTTGGTATTTGAATTCAGTGTAATATGAACTGTAAACATGCAAATGCATTTAATTCTGGGCTCTACTTATTATTAATTATTATTTCATTCTAGCTGTTAAGCAAAAGTGGTGTATCTAAAGATGACATAGCATTATGGGAAATAAATGAAGCTTTCAGTGTAGTTGTCTTAGCTAATATAATGAAACTAGATCTCGATCCATCTAAAATCAATGTTCATGGTGGAGCTGTTAGCTTAGGTCATCCAATTGGGTAAATATGTCACTTTATGGTGTTCTTAATTTGATGATTAAAAAAAAAATTTTTTTTTAGGATGTCTGGTGCCAGGATCATAGTTCATTTGGCTCATGCATTAAAACCAGGACAAAAAGGTGTAGCTTCCATTTGTAATGGAGGTGGTGGAGCATCATCAATTCTTATTGAACGTTTATAATTCTTTATATAATTTATAAGAAGTATTTTTACTTCACAAATCTTATTATTTAATATTTAATTATTGCAGTGTAGTTATGAGATAAGACTGCAGTTACTTATTTTCATACATGTTAAATATATGAAATGATTATTATATTTTAAAATTTACACGGGTAAGGAAATTATTTTGAAAAATATTATTAAAACCGATATCATATTTTATTAAAATTGTTCAACTATTTATTTATTTTAATCAGTTTGGCCAGTATTTGTCTTATCTTTTTCATATATTACTAAAATAGTCGTTCTTTACATCTTGAACCACGTTATCTATAATCTTTAATGCCATATATTTATCTACTTGTTTGATTTTAAATTCAGTAGCTTTGAACTGGATTTTGTTTTTAAATTTTATTGGTTTAATATCAAATTTTTTCCAGAAATTCTTCAACCAACTTACATCCTCCGGGTGTTCCTACAAAAAAATATTATTAAAACAATCAGATCATTCTGTTCCTAAATTATGTTATGTACCTTTGGAATGCGTAAGTATACATGGATGTGCTCTTTATTATAAGCTAAAAATAAGCAAGGTATTTCACCACAAACATGTATAACATTTTCAAAATCATAACAATTGTCATCAAGGTAGGCTACATCACAGTCTACATAACCCACAGCATAGCTATCTTTACATAATATTTTTATTGCATCACCTAATATCTGCCTAAATACAATAGATTAGTAAATTTAAATATTATCATAACATTACAATTACTTACATCTTTTTTTCTTTTATTAATTTCTGAATTTTTCTTTCGGTAGCAAAGATTTTCTTATTTATTTGAATTTGAACTTTCAATGGTATATAGTTATGAGAAATATTTTTCAGTTCTGATTTTAATTGATTCTTATTATCCATCATCAAATGCACCTTTATTTTAAAATGTTTGAAAATATTGATTAAAATATGATAAACATATTCCCATATAAAGACTGGTATTAAAATAATTTATGAATTGGGTACAGTCTCTAAAATTTGTGAAGAAATGACCAACATATTTTTTAACCTATGACCTATTGCATCTCAAGGGCTTTTTACATTAATACCCGATTTACCTTTGTTGGACAAATATTATTTAAATTAGTCGAATTCACTAAATCTTCAAAAACATTTGATCTATCCAATAATTGTTGACCACAAGCTCTTGCATCATTACATAGTGGTCCTGTTACTGCCATTATGGTACATTCATTACTGAGACATTTACATTGGACTATACAAAAATCAATCACATCCAATGTATTTTGAATGTGTGTACCACAACATGCTTCTCTTGATATATATGAATCATCAACATTGCTGTACATATCTATTAAATGTACTTCATCTGGATACACTTCTCCAGGAAGTAAAGTGACATTAATTTGGTTTAAATCATTAGATGTCACTGTTGTTCTTTTAACAGATACTGCAGATTGTATTATATTATTGACTTTTTCTTCTATCTCTAAGGCATCTGCACAATTAACAAAATATATATAATGATTAATGACCCAAAACTGTAAAATCAATTATCTTGTTAGAGAGAGAAAACATTTTTATTTAAAGTGAACTGTCCGACAGTCAGGTTGCCTACATGACACAATGTAAACATCCAGACAAAATGTTACGAAATTCAAAATACGGATAGCATATTCATATACAATATAAACAATATAAGTAAACCGTAGAATGTATAATATAAATTTATCTTATAACACAATGAAAAATGAATACCATATTTGGAATATGACTGTCCAATAGTTACCTTTTGGTGTAAACTTTTGACCAAAGAGTGCAAATGTGAATGAAATAAAATCTTTTTTAACACAACTTGACAATTGAGTAGTAACAACCAGATATGAGTTTAAAATAGAATTTAATATATGAACTGATGAGTGAGCCCGCATTAGACCAAGCCTATAATTAGAATCAACTTGAACATGCAATTCCTTTTCACTGAAAATGTATTCGCAAACATAATTATAAATTTTAGAAAATGTAATGTTAAAAAAAAGTACCTTAATAATATGGGCCAATCTCTTGATTTAATATGATGCAACACAACACCATTTTCATCAATTTTGTGCACATCAATAACATCAAATACTATTCCATTGTTAGTCTTGACTATACCAATATCATTTTGTTGTCCACCAGCTTTACAATAGAAGGAAGTTTTATCTAACACTAATGAAACCATATCTCCTTGCTGTTTAATATTAGGCTCAGTCACAATGTTTCCATTAATATCAACAATCGCAAGAAGCTTAGCAGTAAGTACTGGTGATAAATATGATTCGTTACTATTGCGAATAACTTCATACTTGAAACTGTCATCAGTTTTAGCTATATTTCCTGTCATGTAATTATTTAATTTTCTTTTTGTATGTTTAATGGTTTTTGTTTGCAAATTTTTTAATTTTTCATCAAGTTCATCCCAATTCACTGGTTTTCCTAAAAAAAAAAAAATGTATAAGAAAAATGTTAAATCAATAATAACAAGAACAATAATGATGTACCCATAACTTTCGCTAGCATTCCAATTGTTTTTTTTTCAAGACCAAAAGCATCATACAATGTAAAGGCTGGTATATTGCTCAAATTTTTATGTTTAATTAAGTAATTGCAAGCTGGTACAAATCCTGTACATTCTTCATATGGATTAAAACTATTTAACATTGGGCATTCTTCAACCACCATTTTCCAATCTTTGAAAACAGATGTTCTTAGTTTATTAAATATAGTGTACTCGTGTTCTATTAAATGTTTAACCTAAAAGTGAAAACAGATATTTAATAACTTAAGTTTATACAGAAAGTTTAAATTTAAAAGGATGTTACCAATGGATTGTTTGATGTCTCCATCTTGCACGACGTACACATTTTTTGTTCACCAGTTTCAATAGTGTGCTGTTAGTTTTAATATTAGAGTGAACTGATTTATAATCAAAATTTTAGGTAAGAAAACATTATCTGTTCCAAAATATCGCCAATATTTTGATATTTTCATCTTCAAGCAAAGAATGTATGGGTATGTAAAATATCAAAATTTCAAAATGCTCACAACTCGGTTGAAAATTAAAATATTGAATAAAAGCCAATGTTTCAGTACAGATTATGTCCCTACCGAAAAGTTTGATAATAGGTCAATTCACTCTAATATCGAAACTCACAGCACAATTGAACAAAAAATTTGTTATGTTGTATAAGCGTAAGACGGAGACAACAAATGCATGTGTAGCGTCCTCTTAACTTAATGTAGATTAAGCATTATGATAACTGTTGTATAACCTTTTCATTATTCTTAATCAACTCTGGATACACATTACCAAGACTATTTGAAACTTCATTAGCTATATCACACATCAAAGTATACCCTGATTGAATTTTGAAATTTGTTTCAGCCAATATAAATGATTTTCGTATCAATCTTCTCAATTTATGACTGAAATAGTAACAACCACTTTAATTAACAGTTCAAAAGTTAAAACTTTTATAGAAACAACTTTTGACTGGGTATCATATTATCTGAGAGTGCAACCGTAATCATTCGACTGTGGTCAGCTAATAAACGATAATAAGTATCCAAACTCGTGCTGTCATATGATCCTGTGTACTTTGATATTCTGCATGCCTAGTAGTAATAAAATGATACTTCAAAATGAAAAAAATTTGTTTATGTTAGATCTATTAATTTCTTACATTAAATATAATGTTGAATATAGAAGAAAATAAATCTGTATCGTAAGTAGATGTTTTATCTTGCAGCACCATTGTCAAGCGTTCCAATCCCATTCCAGTATCTATGAAACAATTTGGTAACTTGCGCATAGTATTGCTTTCTCTAGATAAAATCTAATTCATTAACGGTTAACTTAAAATCAATTTTAATAATAAAGGAAAAAAATTACCGAGAATATTGTATGAAAACAATGTTCCAAAGTTCAATAAGATTTTGCCCACCAGACGGAGGATAATCAATGTGTATTTCTGTACAAGGCCCACAAGGTCCTGTTTCTCCCATTTCCCAAAAATTATCATTTGCTCCATTCATAACAATATGATCATCCTTTACACTATAATAATACATAAATATTAAATAAAGATGTCAAGTTTTTGAGTTGCAGTTAAATATAAATAAACAATATTAACCCAATATGTTTCCATATTTGAAGAGTTTCATTATCTGCTTCTACATCAAGTGTTTTATCGCCATTAAATACAGTACAATATAATTGCTCAGGGGATATGTTATAGGGTGGCGATGTCAATAAATTCCAAGCCAGACGACATGCTTCAGCCTATAAAAATTAAATTTTACAGATTTGCCAAATATAATTTAAATTAGTTATAACCTTGCCATAATGTCCAAAAGACCAGTTTCCAAGCATTTCAAAGAACGTATGATGGTAACCATCAGAACCAACAATATCCAAATCATTGTGTTTACCGCCAACTCTTATACACTTTTGGCTATTGACAACACGATTGGCTGCTAAAGTTCTCTGACCAAGTAACACACTCTTAAACTAATAAAAAAAAATTATCAATACATTTCTCTGTAGAATTGTAATATGCTTACCTGACACATGCCAGCATTTACAAAGGCTATCGTAGGATCATTGTATGGTACTACTGGACTAGATTTAATGAAAGTGTGATCATTTTCTTTCACAAAATAATCAATGAATCGTTTGCGTATTACATTTGAAGACAAAAATGACTTATAACGTTTCCTGTTATCAATATTTAATGGTTTCAACTTAAACTTAATCATTGTTTCATTTCTTCTAAATATCCGTAAGAAAAACAAAATATAGTATAGTAATTATGCACTTTTATATACCTAATAATATGTGGTATAATTATTTAAATAAGTACATTTTTACACTTCTCATCTTATTTAATACAACGGTCCAGGGACAGGTACAGATTTCCCGATTTTGATAACAACTGTTAACAGCGAACCTGATAAGAAAAAAAATAAAAAGCACAAGCCAACCTACACAAGTTAGAAATAATCCCAATTCCCGCGTCGCTCATCAGCGATTAAATAAAAAAAAAATATATTTTTAATAATAATAATATTCCAATTACATGTATATGTATATAAAGGCATGTAAGCTGAATAGGTCAGTCAATGTGGTTAATCATATCCCCAACAAAAACATAACAGTGAAAAAAGGCCAAGTTCCAAACTAAATTATCCA